GGCCTTACCCTGAGGCCATTAGTTCCCCTGAAAACAAGTACCAATGGTTTACCTAACTTTAACCAAACATCGACTCTTATGAAAGGTAAATGGTACATGATCCAATTCTAGAAAAATTTGATTTCTTTTGTATTGACTATGAGGTAAATGTATTGAAAAGTGAGTGAGTGTAACTGGCCAGGTACAGTTAAAAATTTGATTTCTTTTGTGTTAACAATAAACAATATTCAATTATTGAATGGAGTGAATAAGGTAAAATTATTTCAGTTTTAGTGCACTGCACGTGACAGTCAATCGTCTTATGTCAATGTCCCACATTGGTTTTAGATAGCTTGCCAGTGTCAATTTCTTCAAAAAAACGCAAAAAGAATGCATACTTCTTTGGTGTTTAGTAAGGCTGTATATGCTTTAAAATAAACTACATTGATTCTTTTGCGTAGCTGCCTCAGTGAGGTTTAAGAAAATAGAATGTATAATCACCTTCACCCGTAGCTTTATGTGGATGGTTTGTGGATATTGGCGGTTCGCTAAGAGGTAGTGGTGGGATACTGCCTCCTGCCACAAAGCTTTCATCAGGTACAGGAACTTCATTATCATCCTCCTTATTCTCTACTTCATCTAAAGTATGGTTTTCTGAACATGACATGGTCCACGCTAACAAGTATAAGATAGGTAGGCTTGAGGTGGAATACAAAACAATGCAAAAGACAATTAAGGTCTCAATGTAGTTAGCAGGAAGTAACAAAACAGGGAGTCAGAAGAAACATGCTTAATTTTGTCTTAACTCAATAGGCCTAACTAGTTCCACACAAAGATAGTGGCTCGAGAATATTAATTGAGCCTCATGTTCGCATACAACAAAACATCCAAAAGAAAAATATGATTCAGCAATTTGTATATTCATACATTCATAATATACATGTAGATTCCAATTATTTTGTCATGCTTATAAAATTCCAGAAGTTATAAGAAATGCAAAAATGTCGTCTCGAAATCAGAGAATAAAGCAAATGTCTTCGCATAAAAATAGAATGGCCAATAGAATGAATAAGATCCCATAGAAAGGTGAGCATCCTAATAAATACATATAGCAACTTGTAACATAATTAATATAATATGAAATTGAGTAATAAAGAAGGTTTAAACATGAAACATTTCATTATCACGTCTTTGATGTGGTTGAAAAATTATACCATTTTAATGACCTTATATATGTATGTCTATACTTACCATACAAAACGTTTGAGAAGAATGTGATCCGTGGGAATTATACATTCATAACATATAACATACAAAACCTCTAAAATTAATAAACACGTTTATTATGATATAAAATCTAATTCAACCAATAGTGCTTCTTGACAGGTTCATTCCTATCAGTGTTCAACTTCCTTAATGTTGTAATGAATATAGAAAAAGTCTAATTATCAATCTGTATAAAATGACCTTAACTGACTACTAACCAAATGATCAAAATGATCTAAATGGCATAGATGATCTAAATGACATAAATGATCTAAATGACATAATGATCTAAATGACATAAATGATCAAAATGATCTAATGACATAAATGATCAAAATGATCTAAATCACGAAAATGATCTAAATCACCTAAACAATCTTAACAATTAATTGACTTAAATGACTGCATAAAATATCAATTTGTCAGTGGTTAAATTGATCCATAAACTATCTAATATTTCCAAAATTACAGTTTCAATATTAAAATATTTTATATCAAAATGAAGCTTAAAAATAGTTCTTTGAGATAATACAAGTATCTAGCTATCTATAAAATATATTACAGTTATCTTGAAAATATGGAGAAATATTTACCTTGTCTTGACAGTTTCAATACCTGGGCTAACACAATTCAAAAGTGATTAAAATAGCTTCATTCACAGTTCACTGAAGCTTAAAATTGCTCTCCAACAGTGGAGATGACGATTAGGTCATTTAACGTTAATTATTAATAGTCTGACCTACTGACTTTTAACCTTCATATCATTAGCATAAGTTGTGAATATTGGATCCGACTCGCATTGTTACGTATATTCCCGGGCGTATATTCAGCAATTACTAATTTAAAATTTATATTTCATATTAAATGTAAAGAAACAATCAATAAAATTGTTCAAGGACATGGAAAAAGATGTTCTTGTCATTATAAATATGAAGAACATATTTTTTTGTTCTAATTGTGATATTTCGTTAAAATTCTGAAATGGACTTTATTTTAGTCAGATGCACTCATGCGGATATATCGGAAATACGGGCCCGTTCTAGGATGAAACATTCAAAATGTTGTATTTAATTTCGTCAATAAAATATACCAACACTATTTGTCTGTAATTGAAATTCATTGGCGAAGCAATGAGCAATAGAGTCATTGCGACTTTTTAACGGAGATGCGACTCCATATTTCGACAACGTCTTCATTATTGCTTAAAAAAAATATTATTAAAAAAAAAAAAAAATTATTATTATAAAAAAAAATTGCATCATAGAAATGGAAGTTGAAGATATTTATCCAATACTTCGAATAAAAGTAAAAACATGTTGCCCAATTTGTAATAAACATGTCCAAGATGCCTCCCTCGTGGGTGTTTACCGCAAAATAAGCAATCCTGATATTCGGTCGTCAGTTGTTCAAATGATTATACTATTGTGTTTCTGTGTCTAAAAACCTGGTTGAAACAGAAAGAAGTAAAGTCATGTTCTTCTGTATGCTAAATAATAAAAAAATTAAGCTTACAATACCTGTATGTAAATATCACCAAAAAAGTATTTTTCTGAAATGAAATGCAACGAAAATAACGCCTAAATCAATTTGAATTTGAAGTACGTCAATTAACAGATACCTGGCAATTAACGCACAATGACGTTGATTGTCGGAATAAACGTTAAACGACCTAATCGCCTCCACTGTCCAAGCAGGGTCTGAAATTAGCTACCTAAATATCCTAACAGGGTTTTAAAATAGATTATGAACCTGTCACAAGAACATATGTCAATATAAATATATTTAAGCACATATACCAGAGGGAAACAGACTAGAATTCTTATAAAATAAATAAAATTTGAATAATAATAATAACGCAGATGCGGGTAGGTAGTTACCAGATTCACCACCAGGTGGCTCGTTCGGGTCAGATAGCATGGCAAGTATAGTAGAAAGTTCCCTTTAACTTAAATTACATCTATTTGCGTGGTTCAATTTTCATCCCTTAGTTATGCAAATTAAAATATGTCCAGTAAAAGAAAATGTTATCTGTCCAATACAAGAGAAGATAATTCACTTTTTTTGTGATTTTGTAACATGGGGTCTATGGGAAATCAACCCGAACAAGAAGTCACATTTTCAAAAAAAAAATTAAATTTTCAAAGTTGATAGAAGATTTTCGAAACCATGTTTCTGGATGTACTTTTACATGCAGATTTCAAATATGACATCACTTTGACTGGATTTTCAATATTTAATGACGTAAATCAAGATTATTTCTACTCGCATCTAGTCTATTGATTAGCCCCTAAAACACCCTATTTTAAATCTTGCGAAACTTATGTTTCATTTCAGACTTGGGCTTGAAAATTTTGTTGGAGATTAGCAATCCTATATGCCCATCGCTATATCATTTTTTAAGAAAAAATATAATAACTAATTGCATATAATTTTGTTCCATCATCATCATCATCATATCTTTGCTTTCTAATTGATTTTTCCACTTCTTATCACCATGCGTATATTTATATTCTACTTTATTTTAGACTATTATAGAAACAGACTGCAGTTTATCAAATAAATATGAAAATAAAATTTAAAGAGAAATAACTGATTACCCCCTAAAACACCCCTATTTTAAAGGGGATACTTACATTGTCTTCTGTTTCTTTTGTTTCATTCAAGATTTGGGCTTGTAAATATTCCTGATATGTACACTTATGTTTGTGGGTGACTGTAATAATCCGTAATAATTCATACGTTACAAGCTAATAACATCCAATCATGAAATGCATGTTTTAACATGCTGGTATATGTATAATGGTCAAGTTTTATAAGACTGTTTACAATTACTTATTTGGATTCTGAATATAGGGTCGTCTATCATCTTAAAGCTCAAATAATTAATTATCACTATTATTTCAGATTATTATACAGGATGTTTAAACTCATACATGTAGCATTGCCACCATACCATGTTATATGTCATTTATGGAAAGTTAAATAGGATTGCAAAATTCCATAACAAACTGTTGTCCCTGAAAAATGATGCAATACACCAAAGTATGTGGGTATGAGGTCATTTATAAGCATTTTTATGAATCTTTGGATTCACTAAATGGTTTGTTCATTTTGTCTGCTCATTTTTAGTAATAAAGGTAGTACTATGGTTCCTTGCCCTCTAACTGATCCTGTACCCACATACTTTGATGTATTGTATCTTTATTCAGGGACATCCCTGGATTTTGAAACTGCAATCTCATGTGACTTTCCATAAGGAACAAAATGATATATAACATTAAAGGGTTGCAATGGTACATGTAAGAGTAGAGGAGGGTGCACACATATGAAAAACCCTGTAGTTAAAATATATATGATCTCAACATAATGTTTGCTGAACTTTGCTCAGATTGAATTTGTCATACAAGAGTCTCCCTTAATAGGCTTACATCATATCATTCCATTTTTACAACAAAATGAGAACTATAAAAATTCCAAGGGATGTTCAAATTCGACAAGGTTGGCCCAAAATCACTTGAGAAATGCTCAAAATATTGAAAGAAACTGCATTATTTTTAAAGAGACTTTTGCTGTTTTTGGCTCGCTCAAATCTGGCTATGGGACTGCTAAGATTAGAAATACCTTCTGTGTCATATAGATCTAAATCTTACTGTATCATATTTTGTTCAAAATCATACATTTATTTAATTCACACGTAATTATTTTGTATTGGTATGAAAAAAATAAACATTAACAACTATTATCAGATTGCACTTTTACTTTGGACCTACATTAGCTACAAACTTAGCTAAAGGCATAGGGAGATTCAACATATAAGCAGTTTTCTCTTTGTTTCCACTGATGTGCTGTCTTATAACTAACTTGCATAGTTCCATTAAACCCCTCTGCTCCAGTACAAATTTAACATCACACACCATTTTATTGTTGTTGTCACTGAGTTGAAAATGAGCAAAATTGTGTAGTCTCAAATCACCACCAGCATCTATAAGGAGCATAGCACATGATATATCGAGATGCATAACTGCATGGTAAAATGCTGACGGGAAAAATCCATGACCTCCAAGTGAACCGAAACAGTGAGGGTCTGCTCCGTAATTTAGTAATAGCTTCATGACATCATAACTGATGTCACAAGCCTTCTGTTTACTAATGTTATCCCTTGCTGGGAAAATATACATAAATCCTTTATCTGGGTTAATCATCCGAGTTGCTATTAACTGCTCTGCAATTTTTGGTTGGTTTATGGGGTCCTGTGCTATCATTATAAGGGGTCTTTTGAAATTGTCCTTCAAATTGACATTTGACCCTAAAGATAGGAGTTCAGATATGTTGTCAAGGTTACCCATTATGACAGATATAGTAAGAGGAGTCCAACCTTCCATATCCTTTGCATCAATGTTAGATCCATTATTGACTAGATACCTGAAAAGACACATATCATTGAGTTGACATTCATTATAGAAATACAGTGGTAGAAAATGAACTTGAACCAAACACATCTGGTCCATTAAAATAAAATAATTGGAAAAGTAACACCAAGAACTGTCAGTCCGTGAATAAATCAGTGAATGTATGATATACAGTAGTATGTATAGATTTTCAGTTCTTTGTGAAAAGACCAAATTTGTAAAGCAACTGAGATCTCTGGCAAAAGATTTAAGGTCATAAAGGTAATTTATTATTCTAATATGATAGATCACCCATGAGTCATATTTCAAAAGCTCTTTCCATTTATGAGGTACACGTAATTACATATATTAGGCATATCCCATTCAGTTGTTCCACATATCTTAATGTCCACTCTCACATTGAAATTGATTTTAAGTTTTACCTTATAATATCACTTCTGTTAGCAGTTGTATTCTCTACTGCTCTATGTAAGGCAGTTCTCTCATGTGTGTCCACTATGTTAACATCAGCACCTGCATTTACCAGACGCTTCACTCCCTCTAGATTACCTAGAAACACAAACAAAACATTGAATAATATAAATGCTGAAAAATGGTGGCCATTTTGAATTTCAGTGGCCATCTTGACAGATGCTTCACTCCCTCTAGATTACCTTGAAACACAAACAAAACAATGGAGAAATATACTTCTACTTATTCAAAATATAAATTTTTTGCATTTAAAAATTCTGCCATTTTCAAAGCGGTGGCCATCTTGAAAATAATTTTTGCATAAAACTATTCACCTATGTACATCTTTTCACCAAACATGAAGAAAATCTGTAGATTAGTGTTAAAGTTATCTTCTGGATGGACGGACTGATTCAGATCTTGACACTTGACAGGATTTATAAAAAAACTTTCCTGGATTTATATTGCCACTAGATTTATGTGATACCCAACTGCCTACACAAGGCAATAACAATATAGTACTTTTGCGATAAAAAATATATTACAAAATTCCTTTAATCTGCAGTTTCAATTTTATTTTTAATAATAAACATAAATGCAAAGGTCTACCTATAAATGCTGCCCAGTGTAGAGGTGTACGTCTCAAGATATCTGCTTTGTTTATATCAGCATCAGCTTCAAGCAATATAGCAATCATCTCAGTAGCTGTAGATGTATTCTCATGATATTCTACAATCAGATGTGAAAACAGTCCATTATAACAATATAGCAATCATCTCAGCAGCTGAAGATGTATTCTCATGAGATTCTACAATCAGATGTGAGATAAGATGTGAAAACATTACATTATAACAATATAGCAATCATCTCAGCAGCTGTAGATGTATTCTCATATTATAAAGTCAGATGTGAAAACAGTCCATTATAACAATAAAGCAATCATCTCAGCAGCTGTAGATGTATTCTCATGATATTCTACAATAAGATGTGAAAACAGTCCATTATGGCTATATAGCAATCATCTCAGCAGCTGTAGATGTATTCTCATGATATTCTACAATCAGATGTGAAAACAGTCCATTATAACAATATAGCAATCATCTCAGCAGCTGTAGATGTATTCTCATGACATTCTTGAATCAGATGTGAAAACATTCCATTATTGCATTATAGCAATCATCTCAGCAGCTGTAGATGTATTCTCATGATATTCCACAATCAGATGTGAAAACATTCCATTATAAAAAATAGCAATCATCTCAGCAGCTGTAGATGTATTCTCATGATATTATAAAATCAGATGAGAAAACAGTCCATTATAACAATATAGCAATCATCTCAGCAGCTGTAGATGTATTCTCATGATATTCTACAATCAGATGTGAAATCAGTCCATTATAACAATATAGCAATCATCTCAGCAGCTGTAGATGTATTCTCATGATATTCTACAATCAGATGTGAAAACAGTCCATTATAACAATATAGCAATCATCTCAGCAGCTGTAGATGTATTCCCATGATATTCTACAATCAGATGTGAAAACAGTCCATTATAGCAACATAGCAATCATCTCAGCAGCTGTAGATGTATTCTCATGATATTCTACAATCAGATGTGAAAACAGTCCATTATTGCATTATAGCAATCATCTCAGCAGCTGTAGATGTATTCTCATGATATTCTACAATCACATGTGAAAACAGTCCATTATAACAATATAGGAATCATCTCAGCAGCTGTAGATGTATTCTCATGATATTCTACAATCACATGTGAAAACAGTCCATTATAACAATATAGCAATCATCTCAGCAGCTGAAGATGTATTCTCATGATATTCTACAATCAGATGAAAAAACAGTCCATTATAACAATATAGCAATCATCTCAGCAGCTGTAGATGTATTCTCATGATATTCTAGAACCAGATGTGAAAACATTCCATTGTTGCATTATAGCAATCATCTCAGCAGCTGTAGATGTATTCTCATGATATTCTACAATCAGATGTGAAAACATTCCATTATAACAATATAGCAATCATCTCAGCAGCTGTAGATGTATTCTCATGATATTCTACAATCAGATGTGAAAACAGTCCATTATAGCAACATAGCAATCATCTCAGCAGCTGTAGATGTATTCTCATGATATTCTAAAATCAAATGTGAAAACACTTTCCATCTTTTGTGAAATTGTGATAGCCTTTTTCCTACTGCTTACATGCCGACAAAAAGTCAATGATAAAGTTTACTTTTCACCCTTGGTATATGCAGGGTGGATAAAGAGGAGGGAAGGCACCTGAGCTTTAGAGATAACAGACATATTTACATCTTTTGCCTAAGTTTCCAAATACTACACTTCGATGTGATATTTTAATTCATGTTAAGGCATATTCCGTACACATTGTGTTCTCTTGATTTGAAATAACAAGCTATATGAGACTGGTTAATATGCCAGAAATAAACATAATATTATTCAAAGCATATTTTTGAAAATTTGGAAGCCTCCATTGATGACTTCATTTATTTGTTAATTTTTGATCAATCAGTGATGTATGTCATCTCAATACAGGTTTACATTATCAGTGTATGTCATCTTTGAACTCTGGGGTTACTCACCCTCTGGAATGGGTGTAACAGCATGAATGAGAGGGTATTTTTTTAGACGAAGGTAAACTCATTAAGGCTTTTTGCAGTAGTAGGTTAGTTTAGTTTTCAGACTGACTTTTTACAAATGATATAAACAAGTTATGGAGTGCTAAAAAGGCTTAGAAAACATTGGGTCACCCCAAGATTTATGAATAAGTATTTTAAAAAGAAATCATATTGTATATCACACTTACTTGCAGCATATATCAATGGAGTACATAGTTTATTTGCACATCCAACTCTATCAACATCAGCATTTGCTTCAATGAGGACTTTCAGAATGTCAACATGACCTAACCTGGCTGCCAGGGTCAAAGGGGTGTTATAATAGAGCTTGTAGTTAATGTTGATGTCTTGCAACACTAGCTTTTTCACTTCTGTGATATCACCACGATTTATACTCCTGTGAAGAAGAAATTCTCTCTCAATCCTTCCAATTGGGGCTGAAAATATTAAAAAACTCCAATGGACTGACAATACACAATATGGTGTTTCATGTACACCTACACAAAATAAACATACCACTTCAACATTATGAATGATTTTATGTTGCATTCATCTAAAAAAATGCCACCTTCTACTAAAAGTGTCATTAGACAGTGTGCAATGCTTAAAGTATTCCCATACCAAATATGAATATTTTGGGATCCAGGGATAAAATTGTTATTAATTGTTAAGAAACCTTGGCCATTTTAGTCTAGGCTTCTGGTTCAGTATTCACAATTCACATTTCTCTCAAACACAATGAGAATATAATACTACAATATTTAATAATGTCATCTGAAGCAATGCTGTTTTTGTTATGCCCATGCATCTTCTGTACTACACAGACTGTTTTGTACATAAGGTATGTCCATGTAGAGTGAACATTAAAAAATATACCTGTATGAAAGGAGAATGTACTCACCTTCACCCGTAGGTTTATGTGGATGCTGAATGAATTTTGGTGGTTCACCAATAGGTGGTGGTGGGATACTGCCTCCTGCAACAAAGCCTACATCTGGTGCAGGTACTTCGATATCATCCTCCTTATTCTCTACTTTGGATTCATCTTCAATATGGTTCTCTGAGCGTGACATGGTCCACACTATCATGTATAAGCTAGGTAGGCTGGAGATGGAATACAAAACAATTCAATAGACAAATGTATAAAGCAGCAACATGCGTATAAATAAATAAGTTACCAACATCCTGTTTGGGGCCAGGCATGCATGTGTGCATGTATTGTCATTCAGACTTCTTATGATTCTGCATTTTAGACACACTTTGCATACTCAGCCCTCACGCAGTAGGTGTGATTGTCACGCATTTGCTAGAAAAAAGCGAAAGCATTCTGTTCAGTTTTCGCACTCGATTGCCGTTTATGTCAAGCATTCGGTCAGAAATATGTGTAAAGTCAGAGACATTAATAAACCTCAACCATCAAAAGTTGTCACAATGAGCTAAATTCTAAGTTTCGGGTCTCAAACTCTCCCAAGCGGTAGAAAAATAATTCCAGCTCACTTTAAGTAGCACAATAAATGAATCCAAAGCTTCATACTTGCAAATGATGGATAAATTCCTACCAAATCGAAGAATGTTTTCATGAATCAACATGTTTGTGATCCAAGGAGTATTGACTCCCAGAATGCAACATCAGTTAATTTTATTTACCGTTCCCCCATTTTGAAACCTGTCACGTGTCATGTTGCATTCTGGGAGCCAATCCTCCTTCCACAATATTTGGACTTACTAGGATGGAGAAAATAGAGCGCTAAATACACTGAGGTAAGAATTTATTACATGTGCGACAGCATGTATTTTTCATAGCTATTGTAATTCTTTATGTTCCCCACTGTATATATCATGCATTTGTTTCGAAAATATTTACACCTACATTTACACTTTCATCTGTTCCCGTCCTGTGCCTGTGATTGTGTAAATGCACACAATAAAACGTCAAAATTATTTTTAGCATCATTTGTACAATTTCATCTTAGAGATGCAGATTGATTGATTTGACCCCTTCATGCCTTAGTCTAGATTTTCACTTGAACCAAAAATAATAAATATTTTGACAGGTTTTTGAGTTATTGTGCAACATTTATCTACTCACCTATTATCACGCTAATTTTTAATAGATCTCTATTGCTGTAACTACAAAAACAATGTTAAAATTGGTTCATATTCGAGGAAATATGTCAAAAAATTAACTTTTTCAAACAATTTTTATGGGCGCTGCCATCTTGAAAATTAAATGTCTGTACCTCGCCAATAATTTCACATATTTTGAAAGGTATTCCTTCAATTTGCGATTTCATGAGTTCCATCAAATCCCCAAATATATGAATTATGCATTTCAAATCAAACTTGGTATATATTTTGATGAAAACTGTTGATTTTGTTCGAATTAACCTTCGCCAATAATAGGTTCACAGATTGAAATTCTCAAAATAAAAATATCTGAAAAGTACACGAAACCAGAAATGGATCGTATTTGCACAAGTATCTGAGTATCGACTAAATAGGTGAGCCATTTCGAGCAATTATTACTTTAGCTGCATAATACCCATCGCATTTTACATAGATTTTACCGGCTTTTGTCAGTTGTGACATGCAAAATAAAATTTCTGGATTTGCCATCCCTCTGTTTTATTTACAAGACATCATCAGTCATCACATGATCATGTTCTGTGTTTGGATGTCATATGTATCTTTCTAGAACTTACTGAGTATGAATTTCCAATAATGCCCATTATTTTATAGGCCTACATGTATAGCCAGGATTTACCTGGGGTGAGCGGTTTTACCAAGGGGAGCTTTTGCCAAGGGGGGGGGGAGCTTTTTGACAGTTTTGGCAACGGGTCTCTATTATCTGAACTAAGTCCAAAATCAAATGAAACCCAAGAGCTGTCAATGTCACTCGTGACTTGTCCGGTTCCTGGAATCACTCATTGGTACAGTGCTGATATATAATAATATAGGGTGCGTTTTCAAACTAAACAGAGTGTTCCTACTAAAATGAATTTGCCTACATACCCCTGAAACTCTTATCTGATAGATAGAATGCACAAATAAAACAAAAGTTTTGCTATTATAGGTAAAAAGTTCTCTTGAAATTTCGAAATGATTTTACCTGTTAATTCTGTCCATGGTCCGCCATTTTTGCGGAAGTTACACTGAAACGCAAACTCCATGAAACGAAACGAAATCACTAGAAAAAAACATGGCACACATTTTGCGCATGTGCAGCAAAGTTTAGACCAATTAGATTATTTGATTATTTTGCGCACGTGAATTATTTGCTTCTGAGCACTTACAAGCTTACCACAATAAACAAACCTGGCAGAGACTACCCTTAGCCTACTTCATTTTGGCGAAATTTCAGCTCAAACTCGTGACAAATGCATTATGCATACGCTGGTGTGAAGCCTTGGAGACACTCATTTTGGTAAATATGATTTATGGGGTATACTTTTCTGCAGTTTGTGGGAGTTTGGGACACTAAAGGTTAAAATCCAAGAAAATATGCCAATTAAACGACTGATCAATTAATATATACCAGCACTGTACATGCCTATCTGAAAACTCACAATTCTAATCTGAACAAATGGTTTCACATCTGCATTTATAATTGTGTCTTCAAAATAAGAAATTACTGAATAATTCCTGTACAAGCTGCACTGCAGGGCATCTACTGTGTAAGGAGAAAATCCACTTTTAAAATATTTCATGGTTTGTCAGAAGATTGAATTTGATTTGCTGTAATAATAATCACTGAACCCTCTTCTAGGAAAATCATGTCATTAATAAATGCTGAAGCTTGTATGGTGTAAATGTCATTTTTTATATATTGTTTGACAATGACTTGACAATGTATTTTGAAGACAAATCAATTATTTGTTGATAGCAATGTATGCAATAGACTTTTCTGTTCATCAATAATTTTTTCGTCTACACTGATGTGGTCATAAGATGAAGTGTTTATTAGGTCATTGTATGATCTACTGGAGAGGGGATCAGTTCTTAAGAACACTAATTCTTACTTTAAATGTAGTCTAGTTCTATGGACACATGACCTAATGAGTCATTAGTACTTTCCTCCTTCCTTGCTAGCAGTAATAAGGACTTTCCAGGGAATAAGTTTCACATCATGTGACCATAAGTAACCCCATGAGCAGCAAGAATACATATATTAACATACAACACAAAGTTTTGACATCATGTGATCATCAGTCACAATTTGGAGCTTAACATGTATCAACAATTATTGCTGGACTATAGAAACCATTCATTGAAATCAAATCAATAAAAACCTTTATATTTTCAGTAAATTTGAGGCGCTAACAAACACTGTTGATCACCAGACCTTGGTGATGGCAACTTTAACTGTGGAAGAGTGCGAGCTGCTGGCAGACTCCAAGTATCGCGCCTATGTCTCACAGACAGAAAAGGCGCTCAAAAGTTTTGAATATACCAGCGAATGGGCTGATCTTATTTCAGCTCTACAAAAGTTGAACAAGGTACATGTGTATTTATTTTATAATCCAAACCTACAGACCATGGAATTTGTAGACTTTTTTTGTAAAGATCAAAATCAATTATTTCGTTGATTCTTTTTTAATAAAATGAGAAATGAGATTCATATGAAGACAACTAATATGGTAATTCTTAATTACTTCATTGTCACTTCTATGTTGTTGAAATCATTGTAAAAATCGATTGAAAAATGTTCCTTATTATTAAAACTATATAGGTCCTGTTGGCTCACATGAAGTACCCAGTCTTACCAAAACGTGTGACGATCGGCAAACGTCTAGCTCAATGTCTTCACCCTGCTTTACCCAGTGGCGTACACCTGAAAGCTCTTGAGACCTATGACATCATCTTCAAATGCATTGGCACATCACGTCTAGCTCAGGACATGTTCACATACAGTGCTGGGCTGTTCCCACTACTAGGGTTCTCTGCGATGAATGTGAGACCAATGCTGTTATCCATATATGAGAATCATTTTGTTGCGCTGGGAAAGTATATCAAACCTGGGCTGACTGGATTACTGTTGGGCTTACTACCAGGTCTAGAGGAAGGTTCTGAGCATTATGATAGGTATTGCCTTTTATTTTATTTTTATACATATCCTCATGATAGGTAACATATCCTCATGATGGGTAACGTATCCTCATGATAGGTAAGGTATCCTCATGATGATATGCATTATCACATGTCAAATACTTGCCAAAATTTGGTGTTAAAATACTGGATAGAAGTGGAGATATTGCCATTTCATTGATGTATGTAAATAAAAATAGTGGTGCCAAAAAGATCGTCGTGAAAGGGTTAAATATACAGTAGAAAGTAGAAACTGCTAAATGGAACATCTCACAATTGGAACAGGTTTTTAAAGTCCTGTGGCCCATTGTCTTCATGTTAATTAACCTTTGGAAGTGGAACGTCTCACAAGTGGAACACTTTTATTGTCCCAAAAGACATTCCACTTATACAGGTTCTACTGTAGATGTAGTCCTAAATAACATGTAGACTCCAAGTGGGTATATTAGTGTAAAAACTGTAAACCATAGTTTATAGAATGATTAAAAACATGAATGAAAAATAAAAATGAATGTAACTATTTTTCCAGGACAAATGCATTATTTAACCCTAGGCTAAATAGAATGATTAAAAAATGATAAAATGAATGTATCTATTTTTCCAGGACAAATGCAATATTTAACCCTAGGCTAAATAGAAATAAAAAAAAATGATAAAAATGAATGTAACTATTTTTCCAGGACAAATGCAATATTTAACCCTAGGCTAAATAGAATGATTAAAAAATGATAAAAATGAATTTAACTATTTTTCCAGGACAAATGCATTGTTAGAGGAATTCTGTGAAGCAGCTGATCCTATATTCTTCTATGGGTGCCTGTGGGAATGTGTGTTGACGTGTCCAAGTATTCGTCTACCTGCCGCCACTTACGCTCTCAGCCACTTTAACAGGCGACATACTATGGAGGATCAGCTCTACTTCATTGGCACCAATATAGATCTAATGGTTAGTAAATTGAAATTTTACACAAATTGAGTGACATAAGGCAAAAAGGAAAATTTGTGGCAATACAGCTTTTCTGTGTGACATCACACAGCTGTAAAATGCTAAAATTAAAATATCTCTATAGTCACAGGAAATAATATTTTAATTCCCAAAAAGTATATTTTTAGCATTTCACAAGACCTTTAAATATTAGAGAGTACTTTCTTGTATTTTTCTGAAATTGTCTCCAGGTACAGGCAATGTGTGCTGGGGTGCAAGACTCTAGTGTTTTGGTGCAACGAAGCATGCTGGACTTTCTCCTCCTTTGTTTCCCAATGTACAATAATCAGCTCACCAGACCTGACATGCTGAAAATCACCAAGGCAACCATTAATGTTGTACTCAGACGTGATATGTCCCTGAATCGGAGGTAAGCTTTATAACTGAACATTTTCATCAAACGATGACGATTTCATAAAATGTAGCTTAGTACATGTGTGTTCAAATTAAAGAGGTGTCCATGTAAAGTGGTATCTTGTTTAGTGAAAATTTTCATGTTTGAAAGACACAATTTGTTGAGGACCAATTTTAATAAATCTAGATTATAGAAAATAGACACAAATTATTGCACTGCATATTTGTTTAGAATCATCAATGTTGTTTGTTTACAGATTATATGCTTGGGTGCTAGGAACAGATGCCAACGGAGTGCCTTTGAGTAATGTCCCTGTGCCTATGGTCTCCAGCCCTAGACCTGACTTAGACTCCTCAACATGTAGTGGAGAAAATGAATTGATATACTTCAACACATATTCTAAGGCAATTCTTATAGAGGCCATGAAAAGTACGCTACATGAGAATTCAGAAACAGAGGCAAGCATTGACGGGAAACCCCTGAATTTGAGACCATTTAGGATCTTGATCAGCTTTCTTGATAAGCCAGAAATCGGTGCAACAATCCTGGAAGATGTTTTGATAGACATCTTTAGGTTTCTCTATCGTGAGTGCAATAAAAGCTCTAAAGTTGATAGCTCTGAATATTATAAGATAGGTGGCGCTACTGCTAGGGTGAATCATAGGCGCAGTAGGGAGAATAAAAAATCAGACCAAAAATCATCAAACGTGGAACTGATTAAAACAGCGAATCTTTTATTTGGTGCATTTGAGCCTTATTTTATGTGGGATTTTATTTCTGGAAAATTTGAGGAGTGTGCTGCCTTATTGGAGCAGCCAAATAAAGGAAGCGGTCATGCAGATGAAGGGATTCTTACTGTGTCTGAGCTGTGTGATATTGTGGACTTCCTCCTTGATATTGTTTCTCTTGTAAGTATAATTCTTTGTTGCATGTAACTAGTCTGAAATTCTTAAATATAATTAAATCATAACATTCTTAAGAATGCAATTGACCAAACATGCAATCCAAGGTGGTGCATTCTCTTCCTTTAGGTTCACTTCTATCTTAATTTCAACTTTTATGACAAGACACAATGATGAATAACTGTTATTGTGTGAAATATGTTATTGTGTTGAACATGTTATTATGTGAAATATTTTATTGTGTTGAAGATGTTATTTTGTTAAATATCTTATTGTAATGAACATGCTATTATGTTGAACATGTTAATAAGCTAGACATGTAAGTTATGTTTGTGTACTTTTGTGTGGTTCCAGGAGACTTATGTTGAGACCCAGACTCAGCATCTTCCAGAACTGCTTCGTCAAGTCACTATATCACTGACCAATCACTGCACAGTACTCAGTGACGATGAGCTCAAACTTGGTTTAAAACTGTCGTCAAAGATCTTGGCTAAAACTCAACCAATGATGAGTCCCTCGGGGCCTGAGGGAGACAGTGACGCCTATGGTGGCCTGAGCACTGTAGAGAGTTCCCCTGTGAAACATTGGTACTCATATAATACTGAGAGGAGGCCAAGCTTAGGGAAGGATACAGAAAGTGATAATTTTGTGAGCGCTGAAAGTGATTTTGATAGTGAACATCTTCAAAATTCTCCCGTGAAATCCAACTGCCAGAATGAATCTGAAAAATCAGTACAATCAGAAACTTTTGAAACAAGACCAAAAAGTGAATCATTTGCCGAGTTTGTGCAGTATAATGAATCCGATGATAGAAATGGTGCCATTGAAAATTCAGCTGATAAACCAAGTGCACCACCAGTTGAAATTGCAGTTGATGAGATTACAACAACGATGCAGTCTTGCGTCCAAGTGTTCCAGAACTTTTTCATCACGCTAGTCAAGAATCGTGTAATTGGGGATGGCTCTTTGTTAGCTGACTGTATGAAAGCAATAAAGAAGAAAACAGCAGAGGAAACTGAAAACAATCCTCAGGGTGAGTATGATACATAAAAATGTTTCAAATATTGAAAAGATTCTTGATATACCGCCCAATGAAGTTTGAGAGCAGCTGGTCCATCTGTCTGATCATCAGTACATCTTTGTGTCATTATTGCTGCCTGGGCAATAACTCTAAAACTGGATAGCCGATTTAATTTAAACTTTACAGGTTTATGCCTTATGAGCATAGAACCATGGTTGTGGATAAGTTTAGTGGCATTATGATAATGTATTACATACCTAGCGAAGCATTTGTATGGAAGTCAATGGAGCGGAAGGTCGGCTATATATTCCTGTATAGCCGCCAAACTTTATTACCATGACAATTTTATGACGTCATAACATACAGACAAAGTTATTTTGACTGGAATCGTGTAAAACTTTGGTCTTTTTTCGCGCATTTCTACATATTATCTTCATGAAATGTTATGTAAATGTACTTTAGGTATGTAATACAACAATTATGTCCGTATCATAGAATATATGCCTTCGGTCTGTCGTAATATAGCCCTCGCAAGCTCGGGCTATATTGATGACAGACCTCAGGCATATATTCAATGATAGGGACATAACTGCTAAGAATAATGTATATTATTTATTTTGCAGATGTATTTAACCTTGAGACACTCCCAGTCTCATCTAGTCTGTGTGCAGCGTTCACAAGTGCCTGTCAACTGCTCATTGAGTTCTCTAGCTTCCCTATGTATTGCACTGACCACAAACAGGCACTGGGGGACTCTTTCAAAAAAGGTAAAGTTAGCGCAAAAGTTTGTGTTGTGCTTGCTAGGTAATTAATATATATCAAATGACATAAAATATACATTTAAATGATAATTTCCTGAAATGGTATTTCATTTTTCAAAAGTTGGCCACAATAAATTGAAAGTGACCATTTTATTGTTGAATGCTGTGTGTGTTTTTCAGGTGATGTTACATTCCCAGACTGGCTACAGGGGATGATAGTCTGTGCCTGCTATGTGGAGGACTTTGAAATTCAGACTGCCAGTGTCTCTACCATTTTGGAACTGATCAGCCTAACTCAGTCAGTGCTTGATGAAACCAAGGTCAAGGTCACAGAAAATGGCAGACGACAGTCAGCACATGAGGGCACAGTTGCTGTGGTGATCAGACCAACTTTATCTGCTAGACATTTGTCTTACCTGAATAAAAGGACTGATTTTTACAAGGTATGTTTGTCTTTGTACTTAAGAATATTACAGGGTGCTCCAGATATAACAAAACAGCTTATTTTATTCCAGTTCATTTACAAGTATTTATAAATATCTGAAGTTAATTCACTGGAAGGTCAGTCATATTGAACACATAGTTGTTAATAGGACATCCTGAATTTCTCTACATTGATACTGCATTTTCAGATCATAGCTTTAGACTTGTGGCAGCGGCTGGATGAAGTAACGCCCCAGTACCACAAGAGGAGTGTAGAGCTACTCTATGCTTTACACCAGGCTGCCCCAAGTGCATGGGTTTGTGAGGATGTAATTGGCACTGCACTGAGCAGGGATGTAGAGGTAAGAACCCCCCCCCCTACCTATTTATACATGTATTCCTAATGCCCTGGTGCCACAAAAACGACCACACTAAATTATACATGCATTTGGTTTTGTTTAGAGGGTGGATGGTGAAGAGGCATATTACTAATTCGAACATGACTGTATTCATGCCTTCTATAAACTGTGAACAAAGTCAATGCTTCAGCTGGGTTATATTCAAGATCAATTCCCTGGCTCTGTACTAAGTGTTTCGTTCAGTGCACTTATATTGGTCAGTTTAGGCCATTCAGTTCTTTTCGCATCTCCCTCTCGTCTGCAAAATTCAAAATGGCAGGGAGAAATTTCGTTTACAGAAAATGTTTGTGCCTAGACCCTGCGGGGTGTATTGAAACTAGTAGCCCTGCTCTTCGGTCTCGTATACGTACTCGCTTCTATATTCTATTTTCTTGCCTCGCCAAGAGAGAGGATCAATTGAAAAGTTGAATTGAAGACATTACGTAACATGTTGATATGCACACGCAATGATTTTCACAGGTGGTCAAAACAATCTTGTTGAGATTCGATCTGGCTTTCATGTCCACCAACGACTTGTTTTGGGTTCACAACGTGTAGCGCCAACACGTGTGTACAAGAGTACCTGCCCCGCCCACCCCTTTCCCTGTGTTGCTATAGCAACCATTTTTAGACTTAACATTAACATCTGATGCTGAAACTTCAGGATATAATAGATAACACTTTAATTGAAATATACACAAAATTTCAGCTGAATTGAAGCATATTCAAGAAAGTTAGAGCATATAGTGCATTACTTCTGGGACAACCCACGTATTTCTTAATTAAAAGTATGTATGTATTGAATGTATTGTTTTTTTATAAAAATTTGCATTTTCAACACGTGTATGGAATGATGTGGAAAAGACATTCCTAGCTTGTATAAGGTCCATAAGGGTTCATTCAAAAACATCAATGGAAGACTTGAAATTGATGTTTTCAGAGTATTGTTTTGTATTCAAAGTAGATGTAATATATTGTACTTGTATGTCTTTTTCCAGCTTCAGACACTTGAAGGCCATCAGAAGTTTGCTATACTGTGGCATCTGACCAGAGACATTACAACCAAGGCCCCCCATGGCAACACAAGGACATTTGACAGGTAACCTTTGAAATACAATCATATGAGTAATACCATCTGGCTTTTGCTATACTGTGGCATCTGACCAGAGACATTACAACCAAGGCCCCTCATGGCAACACAAGGACATTTGATAGGTAACCTTTGATACAATCACATGAGTAAAATCACCTTCCTTTTGACAATTATAAGTCAATTCACTTTTTCTGCTCGCCATTTTATGTCACCACACAAGTGGAAACATATTGTTATAGTCTCTACATTTTTTGTGGACAGTGTCCACCAGTTGGCATTTGGAGCTCGGCCTTCAGAGTTTGGTATCTGTAACATGTGGTGACATTTCTCTTGTTTATAAATGACAGAGTTATCAAATCATTCAAAAATAATGTTACAGTTATAAAGCCATGTCTTGAATGCAGCCTATACTGTATAGATAATCAACTTTTTATTTAGGTTTTAGATTATAAAAATACATGTATTTGACAATGTGTCATGAACAAAACTAATATAATTTGCAGCCCACATTCTTTCTTCACATTGTCAGATGAACATTTTTCAATGTACATGTACTCATTTCCATTCAACAGAATTATTTTGTATTTGTCTAAACAGAGAATAGTTTTTCTATTGCTATCTTTTATCATATATTTTAGTGAGGGGAAGATTTGTTTCAATCCTATGTACTTACAGTATCACTTATTAAATCTATGAAAAAAAAATTTGATTAAAAGTTCCATATAAAGTTTTAAACCACTTTGGCTTATAATGATAAAGTCTTACCCAGTGCTATCAGAGTGTGGTATGTGAAACTTATACCTTTAATTAAAAGAAAAATGTGCATGTTTTTCAGGTCAATGTTCACAATGCTTGACAGCCTACAGTCTGGTAACAACCCAGCCAAATGTTTCACTGAGACCTGGCTGACCCATGCCATACAGAGGGGGGATATAGCACGTGTTGTATGTTTTACAGGTCAATGTTCACAATGCTTGACAGCTTACAGTCTGGTAACAACCCAGCCAAGTGTTTCACAGAGACCTGGCTGACCCATGCCATACAGAGGGGGGATATAGCACGTGTTGTATGTTTTACAGGTCAATGTTCACAATGCTTGACAGCCTACAGTCTGGTAACAACCAAGCCAAGTGTTTCACAGAGACCTGGCTGACCCATGCCATACAGAGGGGGGATATAGCACGTGTTGTATGTTTTACAGGTCAATGTTCACAATGCTTGACAGCCTACAGTCTGGTAACAACCCAGCCAAGTGTTTCACAGAGACCTGGCTGACCCATGCCATACAGAGGGGGGGGGGGGATATAGCACGTGTTGTATGTTTTACAGGTCAATGTTCACAATGCTTGACAGCCTACAGTCTGGTAACAACCCAGCCAAATGTTTCACTGAGACCTGGCTGACCCATGCCATACAGAGGGGAGATATAGCATGTGTTGTATGTTTTTCAGGTCAATGTTCACAATGCTTGACAGCCTACAGTCTGGTAACAACCAAGCCAAGTGTTTCACTGAGACCTGGCTGACCCATGCCATACAGAGGGGGGATATAGCACGTGTTGTATGTTTTACAGGTCAATGTTCACAATGCTTGACAGCCTACAGTCTGGTAACAACCCAGCCAAATGTTTCACTGAGACCTGGCTGACCCATGCCACGTGCCATGTTTTACAGGTCAATGTTCACTGCTGTCTACAGTCTGGTAACAACCCAGCCAAATGTTTCACTGAGACCTGGCTGACCCATGCCATACAGAGGGGAGATATAGCACGTGTTGTATGTTTTACAGGTCAATGTTCACAATGCTTGACAGCCTACAGTCTGGTAACAACCCAGCCAAATGTTTCACAGAGACCTGGCTGACCCATGCCATACAGAGGGGAGATATAGCATGTGTTGTATGTTTTACAGGTCAATGTTCACAATGCTTGACAGCCTACAGTCTGGTAACAACCCAGCCAAATGTTTCACAGAGACCTGGCTGACACATGCCATACAGAGGGGAGATATTGCCCGTGTTTTAGAGCCTGTCCTGTTACTATTACTCCATCCAGATACTGCAAGGTATGCTTGTATATAGATAAAAGTGAATTTGGTTCATGCATACTTTCAGAATTTGTTGAGACGTCATTTAAATTAAACTGTAAGTCATTATACTGGGAGAATATAGGCTGGGAACGCTATCTGTCTCAAGAATTACACAATCACGAACATCACTTTTTATGATTCGTTTTATGACTCATTTTCTAGAAGGATGATTAGAAAGTGTCTGCCATTCAGTAACAATTTTGTTGAATAATTCAAGTACATTTATATATATATATAAATATAAGCTTTGATTGCTGACGCAACCAGTAAATAAAAACAGTGAAAATGTCTTGGAAGTCTTGAATGGATATAGCAAATTGCAAATTGTTTATAATTTTAAAATGTTGAATAACTGTCAATTTTCAATATTATGATTGCTCATAGGACGTAAGTAGATTTATGACTTAAATCTGGTGGTGGACAAACTTAATGTAGTTTTACGTTATATTTTATTTTATTTTTATATCAATTTAAAGTCCATCCACACACATATCTGACATTTACATATTACCTAATGAAGCAGTTGTAGATGGGGATAGTGGTGGAACTATTTTTGAATTCTTCAATTTTGTATATTGTTTATTTTATAATTTATTTGGAAATGGTTATTCATAAATTCGAAAATGGTGGTGGTATTTGAAATTTTTAGAATCTGACATCCTCAAACATTTTCAAAAACACCAATACATGTTAAATGTGCTTCAGTAAATAAACAGGAAATATGTCCTTTCAAATCTCAAACATGAAAGGCCCACAGCTAACTTTTGCCAAGTGGCTTTACATTTGACAACTTTGGCCCAAAAGTACTTGAAAGTTTGTTCGAACTCCCCACCCCCTGGCTATGGACCTGCACGAATTTAAAGTGTTATAGCAATAAATACATATAGAAAGTTCACTCATTTTCCCAGCTTCACAGTTTGATAAAATGTGAAATTATTTAAACTTTTCATACTTGTTTTCCAGGATATCGATCCAACATGTGAACATCCATCAACCCAAAAATGTGAAACTTTCCATATCTTCAAGTGATGAAGAAATGGTCGTCACTGAGGCCAGAATTTATGCAATTTCAAGCGAAGGGGGTAATGTTATCTATCATGTTAACCCAAAGGGTGCTAAGCCAGTCATCAGAAAGAAAACAGCAGATGAACAGGTCAGATCTACCACACTGACATCTTTAGGTAACAAAGGAATGCAGACAGTTGGCTCAAATAGTCGGTTTTCAGAAAATGAATTCTCGTTCGATAAAGTTGATGTCAACCAAGTTAACTTGAGATTGAATCCTTTTGGTTCAAATTCATCTTTAGATAAAAGCTTGCTGTTTGATGGATTTGATATTTCTTTGTCTAAAATCACAAATGCTAAACGACTGGATGCAGAGACTTGTAAAAAAGAAGGAATCAATTTTTCAAACATCGAAGAAGATACAAAAAGTGAAACACAAGATCAGGAATGCACTGTTACTGAAATAGTCACTGATATCATTAATGAAATCCTGGATGGTGTAATTAAGCGACAGGCTCCTCCTGATGAAGTTTTCCAGACTCAAAACCCAAGGGATAAATTCAAATCCAGAACAATCAGTATGAACTCTAGAGAAAGCGCAATGGGAGATGAAGATATTCTCAATTGTATTGATACAAAGAATTCAGAGATTGACACGTGCAGTGAAGCAGATGGTGGAAATGACACAAATCATAACACACTCACTGGAGTACATCCACTTCACACTCACATACTTCTATATACACAGAAGTATGACTTTAGGAGAACGCTTTATGCATTAGGGATACTGAAATCCATACTGTTGGCCAATCCGAGGCTTGTTACATGCGCAGTGGCCACAACAAACATCAGCAATGTCCAGACGCCTCATTTAGCTCAGCTCCAGATGTTACTAGCAAGACAACGGAGATCTGTCTTTGGGAAGAACTTCCACAGTGAGCTATCCAATGAAATCCTTGCTTCATACAGGACCAGCATGTTCGTTGAAATCATCATCTCGGTGTGTTTGTATTTCATCAGAAGCTACTACCCCAACCTTATGATGAGTTCACTCACCCAAGAGGAACTCATTGGGAACAAAGAGGTCCAAATACAAAGCACCGAGATCCTCACATTCCTGTGTTCAGAGCTTGTTACTCTCTCTAAAGACAGCGGCAAACAGTTCAGCTCATTCATCCTAGATCTACTCTCAAAATGCAAAGTCCAGAAGTCTGTGTTACACTGTGTGTTGGCATCTGTATATAACAATCGGAGACGCACAGACACAGATGACCAGTTCAAAGGTCACGTGACCGAGGCGATCATCAACTTTAATGATGACAATATGGACGCTCATAGCAATGAAACATTCCAAGTGAAAATGCTTAAACTTTTGTTGGTGTTAGTGGTCCTGGAGTATCATTTAAAGGGGTTGAAATCAGAACCAGGAGAAGTAACTCCTGGATTGGATACAAATTGGGATCATCCATTGGTCCATTTTAAGCCCACTTTAACGTCAGTGAAATTTACATCGGATCAACCAATCATCTACCAAGGGATGTTCATATCTGCATTACTAAGTGCCTTAAAACAACCTCATATGTCGCATATGCATCATCATTGGGTTGCCATAGTGATATCAGCATTACCATATATGGGGAGATCGCTTCCTCATATTGTGTTGACGATCGTGAGCCAGTTATGTCGTAACATAGAGCAGTTGGCCAGTCTCTACTCAGACCAAGGCAGCTTTTCAGGGTGAGTCCAATTTAACATTTTCAAAATAATTATGGTAAACTTAAACCCTTTCATCCATTTGACAATTTATTGAATGATCCTTATATGACCATATTGTGTAAAAATTCCTTAGTTTATGATCCTTATATGATCATAAAGGAACTTACACAATATGGGATACTGATACATGCTTTGTACTGTATACATGTACTTACATTTACAGATCAACTGAGTTAGAGAAAGTCCCTGCAGACCATGTGGCTACAATGTTGGAGAACCTGACCATAATATGTCATTATTGCATACTGGACAGCACTCAGAGGGTTTCAATAGGTAATATATATTTACAATTATAAATCAAATAACATTTCCTAAAATGTGTCTTTACATTGTTGACAAATATCAATATCCAGCATAATCACTTCTCACTTGACCTTCCAATATATGGCCACACAGAAAGGTTGTTTATATTCCAATTGCTTTCATTTAAAACTATTTAATCCAAATCTCTAAAAGGTCAGGTTGAATGTTTTCCAGGTACTCCAATGCCTACTGACATAGGCAGCATCATCACCTCAGGAAGTTCTGCTACGCAAATCATAGGCAACCTTATACATGTGTTCAACCCTATAGGAGGCGCAAGGGTAAGACATACCTCAAGTAGGGTATTAAGAATTATTTAAAAGAACACATTCCAGAATTCTAGATGTTTAAGAACAGCAAACACACAAAATTAATCTTATACAAAGCAACAACATGCTACAAAAATACACCAAAATTAGAAATGGAAAAAATTTATCACATACATTTTGGATTGAGTCCCCCTAGTGAAGCAGTAGGGGTTTGCCTGTTTATAGTGTCATCAGAAAACCAGGAGATGACTGTTGCTTAATTTAATCAAATACATTTAATCAATACATTTAGGAGCCGAGTCCCCCTAAGGATGCAGTTGTAGGAGTCTCACCTGTAATGAAGGCCAGGAGAAGACTGTTGCTTAATTTAATCAAATACATTTAATCCATACATTTAGGAGCCGAGTCCCCCTAAGGATGCAGTTGGAGGAGTCTCACCTGTAATGGAGGCCAGGAGAAGACTATTGCTTAATTTAATCAAATACATTTAATCCATCAATTTAGGAGCCGAGTCCCCCCAAGGATGCAGTTGGACGAGTCTCACCTGTAATGGAGGCCAGGAGAAGACCGTTGCTTAATTTTATCAAATACATTTAATCCATACATTTAGGAGCCAAGTCCCCCTAAGGATGCAGTTGGAGGAGTCTCACCCCGGGAGTCTCACCTTTTATGGAGGCCAGGAGAAGACTGTTGCTTAATTTAATCAAATACATTTAATCCATACATTTAGGAGCCAAGTCCCCCTAAGGATGCAGTTGGAGGAGTCTCACCCCGGGAGTCTCACCTTTTATGGAGGCCAGGAGAAGACTGTTGCTTAATTTAATCAAATACATTTTACTCCATACATTTAGGAGCCGAGTCCTCCTAAGGATGCAGTTGGAGGAGTCTCCCCTGTGATGGAGGCCAGGAGAAGACTGTTGAGCAATCTCCCCAGAATCATCGCCAGTTTCACTACACTTTGGAGGGCTGTAGAGATATCTGAGGAAAGAGTGCAAGATGGTGAAACTGAACCTTGTTGGATGATTGGAACACCAAGGGTATGTGCATTAAGAGCTTTTTCTTAAACTCACAGACACTCTGAGTTATAGGATATACTTTATATTGAATATCAAAAATCAAAGGGCAGTTTCAACTTTGTCCATCCTTAAAAAGTAATTATCATTCAGGAAATATCTTATCAGTGCTAATTAGAGTTCTCCCAACTTTCTACTGGTTTTGTTTTCTTCCTACAAGATAGTCAGATCACTGTGTTACCTTGCAGACTGTGCGCCAATACATATTGGAGTTTCTGAGTCCCATATCCCTGCACCATGGGGTCAACCTACTTGGGGCCTTTGCTGTGGTGTGGAATGACAGGAGAAAGAAGAATAGCTACAAAGGAAAAAGGGTAATCTCATAATGTCTTTCTTATATTTTCATAATATGCTTAGCAATGTGATGAATAAATGTTTTTTCAACCAATCTCAGCGATGATGTTAAGTCATGATTGCCATAAGACTTATATAAGTCAATAAAATAGAAGTTCATATTAACATGAAGATATGGTACTATCAGGGAGGATATTCCTCCTTCTTAGTAGGTTAATGTGGTATTGGTGGACATGTTATTATTACATAAAAGTTGCGACCAAATGAAAGGAAGTATAAGAATGAAGATAAATGATAATCCTATATAACTTGTAGGTGATACCATCCACATGTGAAGACCAACTACTGCTGGTGGATCTAGTAGGAGCTATCAAAGTGCTACCCACTGATACGCTAATGCAGACTGTTAAGTCAGTGATCAAGCAACCCCCTCCCACTAACCAGGACCACAATAAGGTACTTTATGTGTTGTAATTATAGCCATTGATGATTTTTATTAGAATGTTTCATTCAAAGTCTGATATGAATATTTCAATACAGAATGCAGCACCTCAAAATCTCAATGTAAAATGGATCTTCAATAAATTAGTGAAAAATATGGTAATGGTTGGAATATGAATGTCCTTAAATAAATGTTTTGAAACAATCATCATTTTGAATATAGAAGACTGCAGGATTTGTATATTGGGTCAATTTGTATGTGTACTTGAAATATATGATGATGTCTGATAGCTACAGCTATTTCTGATTTCTGATGTATGTTCGCCACATAAATGTATGCATAATCATCTAATTTACACTAGGATATGAAAATGTATAATTACCACACATGGTAACATGTAGATATCATTTATAGTAACATACTATTACCATTGATAGTTACATTCATGTACCTTACAAAGGTATCATGCAATGACCTAATATGGTAACAGTTTACCTTATATGTTAACACAGAATTACATGTACCTTATATGGTAACACACTATTACCTTATATGGTCACATGATTACCTTATATGGTCACACACAATTACCTTATATGGTCACACACAATTTCCTTATAGGGTCAAACAAAATTACCTGATATGGTAACACACAATTATCTTATATGGTAACACAAAATTACCTTATAGTTGCTGTGTTCATTGTCCAATTGTAATGAACTTTCAGAGGAAATGGTGGTATAGTAGGAAAAGTGTAAGTGTTAACACCACTGTAACTATAGCAACATATTTTGATTTCTCAGTTTAATGTATACATATGTAATTAGACTAAGTGGTTAGAGTTGTTAGGACTTTCTGCACACAATATTAACATTAGGTTATTTTTACTTGCCCGATTATTGTGCAGACCTTATTGTACAGGCAGTGATAGACTAAGCTTGTATTCGCAAATGTAACTAAAGGCTAGTGGCTACTGGATTGACTTACCATTTTATGACCAACTCATTTACATGTGAATGGAATAGTTGCAGGTAATATTCATATTTAAATGAGTAGCTCATAAAATAGTAGGTTAATCTGGTAGCCACTAGCCGTTAGTTGCATTCGTGAATATAAGCTAAGAGACCACTTGAATTGGGGGAGTTGGTCACTTAACTAAAGTTAATTAATATAAGCGAAACTAACTCAATTTGTATACCCCACCTTTAATGGTGGTTGTTTAGAAAAGGACACAGTACCACTGGGTGGGGGGCCCTTTGAATTTAATTCTTTATCTGCCTTCAAGTGCTGCTATGAATGTATGAAAGTGAAATTGTGTGTAGTTTTAAATCAATTTTATTGATGAGATGTGAAGGAGGTTACATGAGGACTTTGTAGCTAAACTAACACAATTGATATGAATGGAAGAAATAAAATTGATATTTTATTCCAGAACCCCAGCACTGAGCAGGTAAAAATGCAGCAGGATACTGTAGTAGATAGACATACATTATATATTATTGCTTCACTTTGATTTAAACTGCGCTACCCTATATATTCTCCAAGTCTCTCTTACAATCACAACAAAATTTCACTTCTGAATATTTCTTCAATATTAACTCGGAAAATGGTTGATATTCTTGTCAATCGCTTTAAAAACCTGAGGAACTAATCAGCGATTGTATTATGTTTGGGGTACTTTGGTTTACAACATTTACACATAGAAGCTTAATCACGTTGGATAGACCCATTGCAATCCATCAACGGCAGTTAATTTCTGGATTGTTTCCTCCTTCTTTAGTTTGGAACTGTGGGTAATTCACTATTACCTAGAACAACTAATTCTAGAGAACATCATTTTTGCTGGCTCACATTGAATGTAGCCAGTGTATTAATATCCTTTTCAAAAATTACCAGATATGTAATATATAATGTCATTGTATATACCTGTATAGCAGTGACCTCCTCAGCTTACCATTAGAGTAATTGGTTGGTGTGCTATCGAAATTTAACCATTCTGGTGAAAATCTGTTAACACCCTGTCAAAATTATGAAATATATATCGGCACATTTTAAACAAAATAGAAAATGAATTGAGAATTTTTCACTTGAAATATGCTTGAAAGGTAACTGTAAAAGGTATATTATAATTTTTTTTTGTGAAAACATAACTTTGTTGTATTGGAGGACAGGCTTTGAGACTCTAAAATATTTTTACTTTCATGGATGATACAATAAATGTTTAATTCACAATGATTTGGAATTTGGAGTTCAATATCCATGAGAGTGAAACTGTAATACCCTGAATGTAATTTACCAGCATTATGATTGTAGTTGCTTTATGTCAGAGGTATTACCTTATTTAGAAATCAACTCATTAATGAATATTAAGGTCACAATAGTTTTGAAAGATAACAATGACTTTGAAAAGTAAGTTGTTATTAAATAAGGTGGGAATTTCTGACAGAGTTTTGCGAAATAAGCTAATTTTATCAGAATATTTTTTATTTAGTGTCCTGGGGTGCAAATCATTCTCTTGGAAAAGACTGATGTAAATATTTGTGTATTTTACAAATTTCATAAACAATTGTGTAATTTATTTTCCTAGAATGACTTGACAATGTGATTATTTTGTTGAAAAATCACATTTTACGGAGTGAAAGTGATTTTCTTTAGTTCTAAGGTGATGGAAATTATAATTGTAAATTTGTAAAAAAGTGTTCATGAGAAAATGTGATTTTTTGGATTGTTTTTTCTTACAACTTTGCTACATTTACATTTTAGTTATTTTATGGGTTTTTATGTCACCACGCAGGTGACATATCGTTATAGTCTCTAACTTTTTTCTGGATGGTGTTCAGTGTTTGGTATTTGGTATTTGGCAGTCAGTGTTTATTGGTCGGCGTCTGGTGTACAGTGTTTAGCTTCTACAGTAAAACCTGTCTAATCCGAACACCCATGGGACCAGCTAAAAGCGTTCAAATTGGCAGGTGTTCAAATTTCGAGGATTTTGTTGGTCGGGGGGGGGGGGGGGTATTTTCATTGTTCAGTGCACTATATTGAACACTTAATACTAGTAAGTCAGAAAACAATACATGTTGTTGATGAGTTAATTCTACAATAGACCTATAGCCTATATGCTATGTTTTATTTATATTTTGAACAATTTCATCATTTTAGTAAAAATAACTCTTATATTTTGGCAAAAACTTTGTAATACACTGTAAAAGTATATGATAGTCTCGTACGAAATCTTATGCTTATCAAATGGCTTATCCCATATTATGGTTATATAGCACTGCTTTACTTTTGCTTGAAAAAGTCCTTCATTGTTTTTTGTTTCTTGGCACTTTTAGCATTAGCAATATTTGAGTAGATATCCTCTTCAAGTAAAAATAATTTTTCATGAGTGTTCATTCGAGATGATGTATAATCCTTCAAAATATCAAGGGCATTAAGGATGTCAGATGTATGCGAATATTACGAAGTTGGTTTTTTCTCTTTCTCGTGATATAATCGTGTCTGCAAATGGCGTCTGTGTTGTCTTTGTGATTATAAAACATTGAATCTTAGCTATCATAACAGACCCATGGGATATAAAACAGTTAAGACCTGTTCATAATCCAAATCAAAAACATCCAGTTAATTTACAATAAGGATAAACCAATTATCTCCCAGACTCTCACCTTTCTCTTAATCCAAATCAAAAACATCCAGGTAATTTCCAATAATTATAAATCAATTATCTTCTTGATTCACACCTTTCTCTTAATCCAAAAATAAAACATTCAGTTCTTTTCTAATAGGATAAACCAATTAACTCCTGTATTCACACCTTTCCAAAACATCCTGTTGTTTTCCACAAATTAGGGATGTCACTGAGACTAAATAAGTTAATTAGGACGATTGGTTCTTTGATTGCATTTGTATATATGTAAAGATAAATAACAACTATAGCATTGACTCAATATGTAGCTATTATTGAGATGTCCAGACATTTGATTTCTGATAAAAATGTTCAGATTAGACAGGTCACTTTTTCAAATCTGGTTGTTCACTGTTCAAATTAGGAGGTGTTCAGATTTCAAGGTTTTTTTAACATGGGAGTCAATGGGAGGAAAAAATGGGACCGAAAAAAAGTGTTCAAATTGGAAAGTGTTCGGATTAGCCAGGTGTTCAGATATACAGGTTTTACTGTATTAAAAATGGCAGGTGGTGACATTTTGCATGTTAATGCCTTGTTTTGTTTTTTGCATTCATTTTGCTCCAAAGAAAAATAACTGAATCAACAAATTTTATTTTGTAGGTTTATCTGCTTGGTTTTATTTCATAATCAAAACCCTGCATGGTGAATGGAAAACCTGTTTTAATTTATGTACTTATAATACTAATTTATGTACTTAAAGTATTTATTTATGTACTGTATAATTAATGCAAACCTATGTAGGCCGATTAATATGTTAAGTTAATGTGATGTTTAAAATGCATTATCTGAATTGAATTAATTACAAATGCATGTCTGTGTATATTTGAGTTTGAGCATTACTTAGTTTTAGATTTGATTTTACAGCATGATACCCTAAAAATTCATATCCAATATAACGCATAATCGTCATAAGAATTCACCATTTGAATTAACCATAAATGTAATTCATTGTTATAATTCACAATTTTAATTAAATGTATAGTTTTAACTTCTTCATAATGATTAACCTGGCAGTGTCTTAATTTGTGATATTTTTCTAATGATTAATATTTTTGTGTTAATTATGTGTGTCAGTATATCAAAGTCATCATAATATTTGAATTCATATGATTTGAAAATCTAAACTTTTTGTCATATTTTTCAGAAACGGACTCCACTTGAGGTGAACATGCTACAGTTCTTCTATGCTTATATACAGAAGACTCCCTCAGGGCAGTTGGTAGATTCCTGGCCTGCACTGTTAGGTTTGCTGAAGGAAGGGCTGCAGCTAGGCTTACTACCACAAGGACAGTTCCTCCTTTTAGCGTGAGTTCCCTACAAAGACCTTTCTGGGAAAAACATTTTCATTGTACATCTACATATATATACTGTATATTACAATTTTTCGGAAGATGAAGTCCGGCTTCCAGTAGAATAATTCCTTCAAATTGGTAAAATAAATGTTCATATGCCATATATTGGTAGCTCAGGACAACACTGACCCTGCAAGACCCAAGACATCTCGGACCCAAGACAACTCGGACCCAAGACAACTTGGACCGAAGACAACTCAGACCCAAGACAACTCGGACCCTAGACAACTTATATTTGAAAAACAAATCTTGCATGATTTGTCAAATTTTCTTGCAAGGATATCCCCCTCCAATGATTTTGTCCATTTTATAGGCAGGTATCATACCATGAAAATAGTTCCATGATTTTGACCAAAACTGCAGATGACTTTCTCAAATTTTTTGACTAATTTCGATAATGAATTTTTGGAAGTACATGTATGATGATAGAACGATGGACCTTATTTGTGTAATTGTAGGATACTGAATGAATTTGTTCAGAAGTGCCCTATGCTAGAAGAGAGAAAAAATCAGAAGGATTTACAGGTATAGCATTCTTAGTTAATATGCGGATAAATATTAAATCACTCATAAATTATAGGATATCCTATTCTAATATTCCAAAATTGTATGCTCTGTCCAGTCATAAACATTTGTGCATCAATTTCAGGAGATTACCCAGAAACTTTTAGAAGCTTGTAGCAACATAGCAGGGTCATCTCTGGAACAGACTACATGGTTGCGTCGTAACCTTGCTGTTAAGCCAGGTCCCCAGTCTGAGGTGATAAACAGCATAGAAGAAGATGTGGAAGGTGAGAGCTCCATTGAAAGGGGGAGGGGGAGGGGGATTGTGGTGGTAAAAAGGGGTTCCAAAGGGAGTAAAAAGTGTATTTAGCAGTTATAAGTGTTACATAACTCCTTGTTGGGGAATATTTTGGAGAATATCGGACAAAAGTTAAATCTCGTTCTTAAAGTTCCAGCTCCCATGATTCATTTCAGCTTTTCCTCCAAAAATGTAAATTCCTCCTGGAATATTAGAATGTAAACATCTAAATTAATAGCAGGTTTTGGTCTACATAAAAGACTTGCTATTCTATTTTTATTCAAGGCTTATATGTTTTTCAGATCACTTACCACCTCCCGTTGTTGAGTCCGTTGCCAAGGAGACACCTAATTACAGTCAGTACAGTGTACAAGCTCTAATCATTTTGGCTGATGTAAGTTCATAGTTTCAAACTTATGCAAATTATAGAACAGTAAAACCTGTGTAAGTGGAACACCTTTGGTATCTCATAATGTTACTCCACTTTCGAGGTGTTAAACCTAAGAGGTTCATTTTATATAAAGTTTATTGGAAACAGGACTTGGAAAAGTGTTCCTTTTGTGGAGGTGTTCTTCTTAAAGAGGTGTTCTACTTAACAGGGTTTAACTATATGCTAAATGAGGTGAACCTCACCCACTCATGATTATCGTTTAAAAGTTGAAAGTTTAAAAGTCAGCAACATATGAATATATATTCCAGCTTGTAGCCCCCATGTTAGACGTGGTCTATGCAAGTGATGAAAAGGATAAGGTTGGACCATTCCTTGTCGCAATTATGCACAATGTCTTCCCATACCTCAGGAACCATAGGTAAGAAAAAGCATAAAACATGCAAAACTGAATACTTAGAGGTTATGTCACTATGACGTGAAATATGCCTGAGTTCTCCCAATATAGGCCGACCTTGGGAGGCTCTATATTTGGGCAAGAACGAAGGCATATTTCACGTCATAGTGACATAACTGATGTATTACATGCCTTTGTTCCCATGGTTACTTTGTATCAATGACGTGACGTCATGATATTATCATGGTTATTAAAGAAATCTAATATCAAAACGAGGTAAGCGGGCTATATCGGGGTAATCGGGCAATATCGGTGGATATAGCTCGCTAACTTTCCCATTGACTTCCATACAAATGCTTCGCTAGGTATGTAATACATGCTGGAGTTTACACTTTGTATTTTGACATAAAAAGCAACCCCAACAACAGTTTTCTTTCAATTTTTTTATATGTTTGAATTATTTGAATGCACTTAATGAAAAGGGTCATTGTCAAGGTGATTTTTGTGCCTTTCTGACACAATATCAGCAATTCTACATTTTTTTTAATTTTGTGATCACATTCATTTATTAGGAGGCCCCAACGGGGGGCCTCCTATTAATTTTATAGATATTATTCTTTATTAGAATGCCGTGTTTCGAAGAAACAGCATTCTATAGTTTTCGCCTTTTTCTTATTTTTATTATTATTATTAGAATGCCGGTTTCGAAGAAACGGCATTCTATAGTTTTCGCCTTTTTCTTCTTATTATTATTCCGTGCAAGATTTCTCCGCACACACCGACATGTCAGCTAATTAGCATATACCATCAACCTTGACATGTTCCTGGGCTACAGGGAAATGCCTTCATTTTTTTAATTAGCCCCTCCCTAATTAGCCAAGGTCAAATCGCAAATTTTTACATTTTTGCACGTACAAGGAGTAACCATTTTTATTTTTTACCCAAAATTTGCATATGCCATCCCTCACAATTGCCATTTCACATATATTCCGGGTTTTAAAATTGGGTGCCCCAAATTTGAAAAATGGGGCACCCCAGTTGGGCAAAATTTGAAAACTGTGTATCCGATCCCAATTCTGAGCAGATATAAAGAATAGAAGCCCCTGATTCCAAATATGCTTTCGGTTTTGGAATCCGACCTCTGAGTGACCTTGAAAAGGTCAACAAGTTCAAAAATCAAAATCGCTCAAATTGATTCCAAATTGGTACCATTGTATTACACTGTACTCGGATAGAGTAAATTAGGTCACCATTTTGACCTTGACCTTTGACATTGACCTTCAAATGACCTCAAAGTTGAAAACTAGGATTTTCATTCCAATTCTTTGCAAGTATGAAGTATGAATGTCCCTGATTCTAAATATGCTTGTGGTTTTGGAATTTGACCTCCGGGTGACCTTGAAAAGGTCAAAAAGGTTAAATTGCTAAAATTGCTCAAATTGATTCGAAATTGGTACCATTGTATTACACTGTACTAAACTAGAGTAAATTAGGTCAACATTTTGACCTTGACCTTTGACCTTCACCGTAAAATGACGTAAAACTTATTTCTTGTTTTACCTGTTCAAGGAGCCACTGTAGTTATTTTTTGCATGCCTTACTCTTCCCATTTAACATATCTCTAGGGTTTATAATTTGGGTGATTTTCATTCCAATTCTTTGCAAGTATGAAGTATGGATGTCCCTGATTCTAAATATGTTTTCCTAATCTATATAGGGGGCACGCGACAGCGCTTTAAAGCGTGTCTGGGAGGATAAGGGTACGGGTTTTTAAATTGAGTGCCAAAATTTCAAAAATATGGCAAAATATGATATCAAATATGCTTTCGGTTTTGGAATTCGACCTCTGCGTGACCTTGAAAAAGGTCAATTGTGCACCGAATTTGCTGCTGCAGCGAGGAACGGCATTCTACGAAATCGCCCCCGTGGCGATTTTAAATGTCTAGTTATTATTATTCCACGCAAGATTTCTCCGCACACACCGACATGTCAGCTAATTAACATATACCATCAACCTTGACATGTTCCTGGGCTACAGGGAAATGCCTTCATTTTTTTAATTAGCCCCTCCCTAATTAGCCAAGGTCAAATCGCAAATTTTTACATTTTTGCACGTACAAGGAGTAACCATTTTTATTTTTTACCCAAAATTTGCATATGCCATCCCTCACAATTGCCATTTCACATATATTCCGGGTTTTAAAATTGGGTGCCCCAAATTTGAAAAATGGGGCACCCCAGTGGGGCAAAATTTGAAAACTGTGTATCCGATCCCAATTCTGAGCAGATATAAAGAATAGAAGCCCCTGATTCCAAATATGCTTTCGGTTTTGGAATCCGACCTCTGAGTGACCTTGAAAAGGTCAACAAGTTCAAAAATCAAAATCGCTCAAATTGATTCCAAATTGGTACCATTGTATTACACTGTACTCGGATAGAGTAAATTAGGTCACCATTTTGACATTGACCTTCAAATGACCTCAAAGTTGAAAACTAGGATTTTCATTCCAATTCTTTGCAAGTATGAAGTATGGATGTCCCTGATTCTAAATATGCTTGTGGTTTTGGAATTTGACCTCCGGGTGACCTTGAAAAGGTCAAAAAGGTTAAATTGCTAAAATTGCTCAAATTGATTCGAAATTGGTACCATTGTATTACACTGTACTAAACTAGAGTAAATTAGGTCAACATTTTGACCTTGACCTTTGACCTTCACCGTAAAATGACGTAAAACTTATTTCTTGTTTTACCTGTTCAAGGAGCCACTGTAGTTATTTTTTGCATGCCTTACTCTTCCCATTTAACATATCTCTAGGGTTTATAATTTGGGTGATTTTCATTCCAATTCTTTGCAAGTATGAAGTATGGATGTCCCTGATTCTAAATATGCTTGTGGTTTTGGAATTTGACCTCCGGGTGACCTTGAAAAGGTCAAAAAGGTTAAATTGCTAAAATTGCTCAAATTGATTCGAAATTGGTACCATTGTATTACACTGTACTTAACTATAGTAAATTAGGTCAACATTTTGACCTTGACCTTTGACCTTCAACGTAAAACGACGTAAGACATATTTCTTGTTTTTCATGTACAAGGAGCCACTATAGATATGTTTTGCCCAAATTTTGTACATGGCATGCCTCATTCTTCTCATTTAACATATATTCCGGGTTTTTTAATTGGGATTGGGTGCCCCAAATTTGAAAAATGGGGCACCCCAGTGGGGCAAAATTTGAAAAACTATGAATTTCATCATAATTCTTACCAAAAATAAAGAATAAAAGCCCCTGATATCAAATATCACAGCAATGTGTCAGCTTATTAGCATGTACCATCAACCTTGACAAATATGCTTTCGGTTTTGGAATTCGACCTCTGCGTGACCTTTAAAAAGGTCAATTGTGCACCGAATTTGCTGCTGCGGCGAGGAACGGCATTCTACGAAATCGCCCCCGTGGCGATTTTAAATGTCTAGTTTATTTATTCTTCCTAAACCTTTTTCTCCTACTTCCAACTACCTTTCAACTATGTACTATATGCACCTACTAGGTACCTTGGCTGAACTTGGCCGGAAATGAATTTTTATCTAGGTCAAGGTCAAAGGTCAAAATCTAGGTCAAATCTAAGTTATTTTTCAAGTTTCTCAAATCCTGACACTACACTTCAATATTTTTGGCTGAATTTTCGCATACAGATAGATATTAGTATTCTATTAGTCCTAGCCTTTTGCTGTCTAGAGAAATTTTGCCTAGATTTTGAGATATTGAAGGTCAAAAAAGGTCTTTTTTCAACTTGCTTCAAATTGACCAAATTTTTTTTTAAAACTCATCTACAAGTTCTCATGATTCCAAACCTGACCTTACTTTTGACCTTTGACCTTTGGTTGACCTTCAATGACCTCCGAAAGGTCAAAAAAGTTGACTTTTCAAATCGATTTTCTGGATTCAAATTTAGAAATATTTATTCACAAAAGACCTTCCGAGGTCTAAAAAAGTAAAATTTGCAAGGTCAAAGGTCAAGGTCATCAAACGAAATCACAAACTGTGTTTTGTAAGTTTCTCAAAGTTGGAGACTACAAATCAATTTTTTTTACTGAAAGTCAGAATGTATATTCCTCTAAAGGTTCTACACATATAAAGATTGACTATTTATTAAAATTTTGCTCCAGTTTTGAGATATTAGAACTCAAAAACTGAAAAAAGGTCAAATTTCAAAATTTTTCAAGGTCAAATTTCAACTTGCTCTAAATTGACCAAACTTTTTTTTAAAAAGCATCTACAAGATCTCAGGAACTCAAATCTGACCTTAGTTTTGACCTATGACCTTTAGTTGACCTTCAGTGACCTTCGAAAGGTCAAAAAAGTTGATTTTTCAAATTGATTTTCTGGATTCAAATTTAGGTTTATTCAATCAAAAAAGATATACTGAGGTCTAAAAAAGTGAAATTTTTAAGGTCAACAGTCAAGGTCATCAAACAAGATCACAAACTGTGTTTTCTAAGTTTCTCAAAGTTTGTGACTACAAATCAATATTTTTGAATGAAAGTCAGGATATATATTCCTCTAAAGGTTTAACACATATTAACAATTGATTATCTATTAAAATTTTGCACCAGTTTTGAGAAATTAGAACTCAAAATCTGAAAAAATGTCAAATTTCAAAATTCTTCAAGGTCAAATTTTAACTTGCTCTAAATTGACCAAACTTTCTTTTAAAAAACATCTACAAATTGTCAGGAGTTCAAATCTGACCTTGGTTTTGACATTTGACCTTTCAACTATGTACTATATGCACCTACTAGGGACCTTGGCTGAACTTGGCGGGAAAGGAATTTTTATCTAGGTCAAGGTCAAAGGTCAAAATCTAGGTCAAATCTAAGTTTTTTTCAAGTTTCTCAAATCCTGACACTACACTCCAATATTTTTGGCTGAATTTTTGCATACAGATAGATATTAGTATTCTATTAGTCTTAGCCTTTTGCCGTCTAGAGAAATTTTGCCTAGATTTTGAGATATTGAAGGTCAAAAAAAGGTCAAAAAAGGTCTTTTTTCAATTTGCTTCAAATTGACCAAATTTATATTCAGATACTCAGATTTCGTCCTCATACTTCATTATTATTTCTTGCGATGAATTAAAATGTAACTAGATATAAGCATTCTCTACAAATTGCTCACTATATGTACGCGTTAATTTTTTACCGTTTTTGAGATATTTGACGTCAAAAATCGGCAAAAATCGGTCATTTTTCAACTTGCTTCAAATGAACCAATTTTTTTTTTTTTAAAAATCATCTACAAGATCTCAGGAACTCAAATATGTCCTTACTTTTGACCTCCCACCTTTGGTTGACCTTCGGTGACCTTCGAAATGTAAAAAAAGTTGTTTTTTCAAATTGATTTTATGGATTCAAATTTAGATATATTTGATCACAAAAGACCCGCTGAGGTCTAAAAAAGTAAAATTTGCAAGGTCAAAGGTCAAGGTCATCAAACTAAATCACAAACTGTGTTTTCTAAGTTTCTCAAAATTGGAGACTACAAATCAATATTTTTTCATGAAAGTCAGGATATATATTCATCTATAGGTTCTACACATATTAGCAATTGACTATTTATTAAAATTGTGTACCAGTTTTGAGATATTGGAACTCAAAAACTGAAAAAAGGTCAAATTTTGAAACTTTTCAAGACTAAATTTCAACTTGCTTCAAATTGACCAATTCTTTTTTTAAAACTCATCTACAAGTTCTCAGGATTCCAAATCTAACCTTACTTTTGACCTTTGACCTTTGGTTGACCTTCAGTGACCTCCGAAAGGTCAAAAAAGTTGATTTTTCAAATCGATTTTCTGGATTCAAATTTAGGTATATTTATTCACAAAAGACCTTCTGAGGTCTAAAAAAGTAAAATCTGCAAGGTCAAAGGTCAATGTTATCAAACGAAATTACAAACTGTGTTTTCTAAGTTTCTCAAAATTGGAGACTACAAATCAATATTTTTAAATGAAAGTCAGAATATATATTCCTCTACTAAAGGTTCTACACATATTAGCAATTGATTATCTATTAAATTTTGGCTCCAGTTTTGAGATATTATAGCTCAAAAACTGAAAAAGGGTCAAATTTCGGAATTTTTCAAGGTCAAATTTCAACTTGCATTAAATCGACCAAACCTTTCCTAAAAATCATCTACAAGTTGTCTAGAGTTCATATATGACCTTGTATTAGAGATTTGACCTTTGGCTGGCCTTTGAATGTTCAGAAACGAATATAGGGCCTCCGTAAGATTGCTTGCAATCTTAGATCGTTAGATCTCTAGTTATTGAGTGTTTCTGCTGGAACATGACTTTAAAAGTATCCTTTTTGTTTAACTGCATGTTCCTGACATAGAAACAGACATGTCCATTTCTTCAATAGAAATTGTATTGTTCTTTCTTCCTTCCTTATTTTAGCCCCCACAACCTGCCTAGCTTCAGGGCCAGCTCAGAGATCCTTGCTAGCCTCAGTGAATACCAGTACACACGCAAATCTTGGAAGAAGGAAGCACTGGATCTATTACTAGACCCCAGTTTCTTCCAAATGGACCAACAATGTATAGGCAACTGGAGAACTGTTATAGATAATCTTATGACTCATGATAAAACAACATTTAGAGATCTCTTAGGTATGTTTATGTATAATTTAGGGATTTAAACCCTTAAATTTTAAGGGTTGCTAGTTTTTGCAAATACAGGGTCCAATAACTTTTAAGTCCAATAAGTTTTAATCAAAATTAGAGAAAAACATGACATCTTCCTTATTTCTTTCTTCTTCATTTTAGTCATTGCATCTCTTTCATATATCTTATAGATTAGGGCTGTATGCTTTTTACGAAATACAGGGTTTCCACAATTTCACATAACATTTTTTCTCGATTTTTGCATTTTAGTAGACACAATGCTTTGAACTCCAGATTATTGTTGTAGTAAATATACTTTCACAATATATAGGATGTATTCAAAATCACAGCTTTTTCATCTATCTGGAAACTAATTTTTAACTTTAAATTTTAGGTCGCATTGCAGTTGCCCAGACAGGTTCTCTGAACTTATTCAGTAGCAAAGAGCAGGAGTTTGAACAAAGGGCCCAGTTGCTCAAACGTTTGTCTTTCACCATATTCTGTAGTGAGGTAGACCAGTATCAGAGGTTTATGCCAGATATACAAGGTTGGTGTGTTTTAAGTAACCACTATTTAACTAGTCTGTAGAACCAAATTTCTTATTGCATGCTCATATTCATATCAATGTTCAATACACATTTAGATATGTAGTAATACATATACATGTACCATGTTGTTCAATAAGTTCACAGAAAAAGGCTCTGATTTCAAGGATTTTTAATATTTTCTCATGAAATTTTTACACAATGTGTAAAATATATTTGCTTATTGATTCCTAAAATATCAGCATCTCTTATTCGATTGGTCAAAAATAATGGTTACTATGGTAACTTGACTTTTGGGTAGGCAGGGCACTTTTTATGTCAGATTATCCAATAGAAAAACAACGGAATAGTAAGCAAGTTTATGAATGTATCACATGCATTTTCTCTTCTCCCCTTTCAATTTGTAGAAAATACTACAAATAAAACAAAAAAACTGTACATAATATGTCCTTGCCTTATCAAGAAATATGTCATTACATTTATCTACAAATTCACTATTTTAGAGAAGTTAGCAGAAAGCTTACGTCTCGCCCAAGTGCCTTCGGTCCAGACCCAAGTGTTTGTGTGCTTCCGTGTGTTACTGATACGTATGTTACCCCAGCACCTTACCAGCTTATGGCCTACTATCATCACAGAAATGGTGGGTATAAGGAATTTTCAATGTTATCATTGATAACTTATTACACGAATGAATGAATATACGATTTGGCATTTCTGTAATCTGACTGGTTTGCAGACACCTAAAATATGGCACACGAATCATAATTATAAAATCAATAAGTTATTTGTCTTGTTATTTTTTAGTTTACACTTTAACACTTTTTTGGCACATTTTGAATCATGGCAAGTTAATATCACATTTATAGGTCAAGGTCATCTTTAAATTGCGCTGAACTGAAATTATCTTTCTTTTGCTACAGGTTCATGTTTTCCTACAGATCGAACAAGAACTTACACCAGATGGCGATGAAGTCAGGTAGGTCAAAGAAACAATTTGATTGGTCAAAAACAACCTTTCTTTATGTGTGGGGCATTTGATTGAGATATTACATTTTTGTTAAGAATGAATTTTGTTGAACCTTACTTGAACAATGCTGTTGTTTCATTCCATCATTCCCTGTGACCGCCAAAGTTCTCATACAGTAAAACCTGTGTTGGTAAACATCTCTTTCAGAAAACACCTATCCCTAGTAAACACCATATCTTGACAATACAACATTGACCTCTGAAAAAAAACTGCATTGTGAAAAAAGGAACACATTTTTGTAGCTCCAAATATGTTCACTGTGCACAGGTTTTACTGTACTACATATTTGTCATTTAAATTATGATTTTTTTTATTAATTCTTTCTCTTTGCATGTTTGTAAACCCTTCTTCCTTGTCACCATTATTTTATTATCATCATTCAATTCTTTGATTTGGGTTTCAGTGGATGTAGTTTAACATTTGTAGAGCCATCTATCTCAAAAAGGATTTATATTTGCATAATGGTTTTTCTCAAGAAAATATTCTAGATTTTGAGTACAGGAGTAAATGTAGGTAATTTATTTGATGTGTTAAGGTTATACCAAAGAAAGGAAAGGTTATGGGCCATGTCTCTTTGTATATAATATCTGAAACAGCATTAAACAATCTGCTACTGCAATTATTGGAAAATACGGCAAAGGCTGATAGGAATAATTTTTAAATAAAGATGGCATGGTAATCGATCTGTGTTTATGAGAAAAATATAATTCTGGATTCTGTTGGTGCTGCCATCTTTATATCGACCCAGAACCTATGGGAAAATGTGTACCTTTTACCCAGTTGATAATCCAATTGCATCAAGTTGTTAAGCAATGGATAAAACATTTAAGATGAATACACTCTACCCTATCACGAGACCACATTTAAAATGGATACAGGCTACAGCGAAGTTGTAAATGGAGCGGGTGTTCTATATCTTTTTCTATTAGGCTTTTCTGGTACTAATACAATGCAAACTGCTCAATGAATCTATACAATGGATAGTAGAACACTCGAAAGATATGTAAAATCTAGTCTAGTTTCAGAAATATTGAGATTAACAATCATCCTCCATTTGCAACTTTACTGTAACCTGTATCCCTTTTCAACATGGTCACATGGTAGGGTAGAGTGGAATCAGAATTTGTAAAAGTAAAATTAGAATTTTGTATCAACTGAGAAGACATGGGCAGGATATGTAAGGGTGTCTTGAAATCCCATGTCTGTAATAGGGACTTGAAAATTACTTGGAATAATAAGTCTGTATGTACACAGTGTAAAAAACAGAAACATTTTTCATAAAATATATAATTTTCATGTCCTAATCACAGATTAGAGACCTGTTCATATCAAGGTTCATAAGGCAATCATAATAATATATCAAATGTCAACAAGCGAGAATCAAGTGTCTCATTCAAAATGGTGGTCAATAATTTAGCCATGTAGCCGGATATTATAGGAAATTTACATAGGAATTGCAGGTTGCTTGTTATTGAAAGCATTGCTAGAATATAAGAACCCGCTGTTCAAATATTTATTCTGAAAAATCAATTGAAATGGCCATATTCTAAGAGAGCTTCCTCACTTAATATAAGTGTGAAGTACTTGTATGTGATTTTGTGATTTTGAGGACATGATATCCAATTTAGTAACTGTCTCTTGAATTTAATTAGATTTTGATGGACTTATCAATGCTCATAAATACTATTGATTTATCTTATTTAGAAATATCAAAAACAAGATTGAACCAAGCAAATTTTCGCCATATTTTCATGTTGTCAGGTGGGTCTGGTCAATCCACCTGTCTTGGTCTATTTAACTTGTGTCAAGCCAATTTAATACATCAGGTCAATCCCACCTGTATTTATTAACTTTAACGTAATTGTGTCAGGTCAATCCACCCATGTTGGGCCTATTGAACTTGTGTCAAGTCAATGATATATATGTCAGGTCAATCCCACCTGTATTTATTAACTTTAAACGTAATTGTGTCAGGTCAATTCAACCTTTGCCAGGTTAATAATATCAACCGGTGTCAGATCCATATTCTTTAAATCCCTAGTAAAGTCAAGTTGAGTAATGCCAGGCCATTGACCCCTGACTGTTACTTGCTATGATTGAACCCAAAACCTGTTCTATAGATGTCATCATTTTCACCATTATTTGTGATTGTCATAAAGTATTTTGGCATTTGGCAGGTGCGTAACTAGGCATACGCGAGGGTACGCAGTTGGGTTCCCTAAATGATGGAGTAGTGCCCCATTACACAGTCTGATATTGCTCAGAACACACAATTTAAGGTCTAAAACCAAAAATTTTCCAGGGGGGTCCCGTTGGCCTTGTGTACCTGCAATCAAAATCCTGGTTATGCCGCTGTTTGGTGTCCGCATGATACTTTTGGAATCGCATTTGACATTTTGATGTGTCAATGACTTCTTAATCTTTTTTCTGCATGAATGAAGATTATTGGAAGAAGTCAGTTTGGGTCTTCTTGCCTCAACAAACTACTGAGATATCTCACTGTGTTTGACATTTTTTCAGTGAGAAATAATTTGCATTGATTTTGAGGATAAAATACACAGAGCACTATTGACAGATTTTTAAGACAGTTAATTTGTCACGGATATGATATTGACAGGTTGATACTCACTTGAGCTTTTCAATCTCAAACATATGATACCAACAACATAATGCTTATAGCCGTAAAGCCTTTGTGATCAGAACACAATATTTGAAAAAGTTAACATTCTATTTCAAGGTTATATTTCAGAGGATTTTAACAATTAATGAGTGGAAATTTATTTATGTGAACAAAAATTTAATTAAACAATACTCAGAAGTTTTTCTTTTATAAGTTTGTATTTGCATAAAAGTATATAATACAGTACACTTATTGTGAAGGACCTAAGTTTTATTGGTCAGAAATAGTCAGAAAATGTCAAAAAGTGTACATATTAATTTATGTGCAATTATATTTCAGTTTATATTCTGAAGCTTTAAAATGCAGGTTCATTTAGAATATCATTTGTAATTCGGAGCTTTTCCATTTTCGAGTTCTGTTATTTTATTATTTCATTCTATGAAAGTCCATTTGTATTTATAGTACATTTATATATCACGATCTTTGACATTTTTTAAATATACACCAAGTAAAGTAAGCTAAGTAAGTAAGAAGGATGCAATAAATTGGAATATATCCTTATCTTTATAAGTTTTCATCAATGAGTATTCTCTTGCATCTGCATCATTCTGCTTCTTGTCCCAAAGTGTGTACTATGCCCCTGAATAAAATATCACAACATTCTCATTTTAAAATGTTATTAAAGAATGACAGAGGGGAAATATCAAGTAATTAATGAAACAGACGAAATGCCACAAAATCCTTATATTCACTCAGATTTT